AAAAAATATTAGCAAGGTTGTCGTTACTTTTCACTAGGCCGTGTACTTACAGACAGTATAAGAGATTCCCATGCACCCACCCTCCCCGAACCACCCAAATAATATTAGAAAGACATTCAAAGTTTATTATTCACTCCAACCCCACCCAGATAAAATTATATAAAAATTTTATTTCTTTCATTCCAAACTTTAGCGGCAGCATAACCGAAAGTTCGTTTCATTGAATTTGTTTTTGGCTTCAACAACATCAACTTATTTTTGTTATTTTTTAATTCATATCGATCTGAATTATATAGTTTAAACATGTCCGAAATGTTTTCGTGAAATTGGCATGTAAGTGCTTTTGATACATATTTTAGTCGTTGCTCCGTCATTCTTTCACCTAACGTTTTCCAATCTAGTTTCTTTAAAATATCTATGGAGCGTATTTCATGAGTCAACTGTAATAACTTTTGCAGCTCAGTTTTGGAGTTTCTGAAGATTGCCTCTTAAAGATTCGCCACAGTTTAATACCCCAAATCATCGAGCAGTAATCAAAGTGTGGTTGGACTAAAGCTCGATAAAGATGTTTAAGAGTTTCCGTTGAAACGTATGGCCCACACGAGTAAACGCGACGCAATTATCGGTCAATCGCTAACAAGTATCCTCTTACTGGCCAGAAATATGATCTTGCGATGCACTTTGGGTGCATAAACCTTATTAATTTTTGCATTTCTTTGATCATTGTCAACTTCTTCAATCAAATCAAGCCATTTTTCATCATCTTACAAACATACAATAAAAGAGTTCACTGAAAGTACAATTGGTTCACGAGCAGGGGTAGATACAGTAAGAAATAAATTGTATTGCATACTTTTGATCCATTCATATTCTTTTTGTGTATGTACTATTAATAAATATGTAATTTTTAAACTTTTAAAACAAATTTTAAATATGCACTATCAATAAAGAAGGATCGAATGAAACATTAAAGTATTTGGCAGTCTCATTTCTCAATGAATGTATTTTATTCTTAACAAACACCCAAAACCTACTATTAAAGTTATTTAGAAAATACGACAACTTTAAAGGGCTCTACTTTTTAAAGCAGGCAACTAACCATCACCAAATTTTGCTTAAAAGTAGAATAGCATGTGGATATGATGTGGAATAAAAATTACTGTTGTATCTGTATGGCTTCCATAAAAATTTTTCCCATAAAGATGACGTATATTTCGTGTCTTCAGAAACACATAATTAGACTTTTTGCTGTGCCATAACACATTACTGGTTGCAGATACAAAGATGAAAGTGCAATATTTGAAATCTCCGCATACAAATACATCTTTGTGCAAATTTTGATGGATATACCATGTACGGGTATGAAGTTACAGGTCAAAATGTAAAATAGGGTAATGGTGAATTTAGCACTGGCCACGCCCACTTTTTTGCTTTTCGGGCCATATTTCGAATTGCGATATCTCAAAAACTATTGCAGCTACGATGCTCAAATTTTGAACTTAAACTATTCCCACACAATGTTAACTGCCTGCGAAATATAAAGAAATTTGGAGAGGGTGGGTGTCAAATCAGTTTTTTTTGTGTTGAAATGGCATGGAATTACTTTAACACAAACAATAAGCTCACCCACTCGCGTGACCATGACTTCATCTACCCTGTTGGATGTTTGTCTCACCCCAACTCCAGATAAGTTAGTCTTATCTAAAGTGGTGCAGATTGCTATCAGCGATCACTATATGATTTTAGTTGTTCGTAAAATTAATATTCGTCCTAAACAAAACAACCGCCACAAGAAAGTCGAAATTCTAAACTTTAAGTATTTTAATGCTGAAAATTTCCTAATAGATTTGAGTAATCAGGAATGGGGATTGTTGGACAATAACTTCTGCGTTGACAGGATGTGGGAAACATGGAAAATTATTTTCTTGTCAGTTCTAGATAAGCATGCACCAATTAGAGAAAAGAGAGTAAAAAATATACCAAATATTCCTTGGCTGACTAATGCAATTAAAAAACAAATACGTGAACGGGATCGTCTCAAATTCCTTGCCGTTAAATACAATTCAGAAAATTACTGGACTTAATATAAAACCTCTAGAAACCATATAACTAGTATACTGCGAGAAGCAAAAACAGCATATTATAAAGCACAATTTGAAAGTGCCAAACATGACCCTAAAAAAGCTTGGAAAACCGTTAATAAAATCCTTAACCGGAAACAAGAATGTCGCGAAATAAATTGTATCCATACTCAGAATGGTCAAATTTCTTGTCCAAATGAATTAGCGGAGCGCTTTAATAATTACTTTACTGACATTGGTCCAAAAATTGCCACAACCATTGGTAATACTGATAGAAATTTCACGGATTACATAACAAAAGCAACAAGTAGTTTCAAGTTTCAAACAGTGTCTCAAACCAAAGTATACAAACTTCTCTCCTCTTTAAATCCTTGTAAATCTACTGGAATTGATAAAATTTCCGCTAAAATTATTCGTATTGCTGCGCCAATAATTGCAAATTCACTGACAAGTATTTTTAATACGGCAATCTATAGTGAAACTGTTCCTTCAGAGTGGAAACTAGCGAGAGTTATCCCTTTACACAAAAATGGCCCTCGAAACATGTTGAATAACTATCGCCCAATTTCCATTCTGCCTATAGTAAGTAAAGTTTTTGAAAAAGTTCTATATAGTCAACTATATGATTATTTTGTTGTTAATAATTTGTTGTCTCAAAATCAATTTGGTTTTAGGCAGTTCCATTCTACAGCTTCTGCCCTTTTGGACAGTACTAACGAATGGTTCATTAATATGGACCGTGGTCAATTCAATATTGCAGTATTTCTTGACTTGCAGAAAGCATTTGATACTATAAATCATAATATATTAAGAAACTTGATCTTTATGGTCTACAAAAACCTGCCCTAAATCTTTTAGGATCATACTTAGAAAACAGATTTCAAATGTGTACTGTGAACGGCGTATTGTCTAGAAAAAATCTAGTTACTTGTGGGATCCCCCAAGGTTCAATTCTTGGGCCACTCCTGTTTCTAATTTATATAAACGATCTGCCTACAAGTCTTGAACACTCGTCATCAAGAATGTTTGCCGACGATACAACGTTAACTGTATCTGGTAAATCTCTTGATGATGTAGAAGTTGCCATCAATCACGATCTTTCAAACGTTAATCAGTGGCTCTGTGCAAATAAACTATCTTTAAATCTCGTTAAAACTGAGTACATACTAATTGGATCACGGCATAATATTAATAATATATTGGCTACCCCAAAGGTATTTGTTGGTGACATACCAATTAAAAGGGTAAGAGAAACAAAGGCACTTGGAGTCTATATTGATGAATTTCTATCATGGGAAAAGCATATTGATAAAATTGCTAAAAAAGTCTCATCCGGAATTGGGGCAATCAGAAAGTTAAAATCATGTGTAGACCGTAATACATTAATTTGTGCCTATAATGCACTTGTTTTGCCTCACCTTGATTATTGTTGCGAAGTTTGGGACACCATTGGTACCACACTTTCTGATCGTCTCCAGAAATTACAAAATAGGGCTGCTAGAGCTATCGTGGGTCGTAAAAATGAACATGGTCAATCTGAACTTGCTCTAAATGAATTAAACTGGAAACCTCTGAGCGAACGCAGAACTCAGTTTGTGGCAAGTCTTATGTATAAAATTACTCATGATCTAGCGCCCTTACGACTTACTGATATTTTTCAAAAGACGTCTTCCTCCCAGCATTATAATTTGCGGGGCTCTTCCACTAAACTCCATTTGCCCAAGCCTAAGACTGAATATCTTAAAAAAAGTCTTAGCTATAGAGGGGCTAAACTGTGGAATAGTCTCCCAAATGAATTAAGAGGAAAAGAATCACTAGCTATATTCAATAAAAACGTATGACACCTGGCTACTAATTAGAGTTTTCAAACCCATATTTACCTTGACTATTTAATCTATTAATATTTACTATTATGTATGTATGTATGTATGTACTGTATGTACTATTATCTATTTAATTATGTATGTAATTGTAATAACTGCATGTAAGTAACTGTATTTGTATGTTTAACTTTTCTAAATTTTTAATGTAAATTTGAATTTAATGCTACGCCCCCCTTGGAAATCAGCTTTTGCTGTAGGGGTTAGCGTAGTAAAATAAAGTTTTACCTACCTACCTACCTATCTGAAACTTATGATGCGCTATAGCGCTTATATTAATCTTTGGTACAACTGGCGTGAAGCTTAAAATATTGATTCAATAAGTTTAATATCAATATATTTATTGAAAAATAGCTATTATGTCAGAATAAGAAAACTTAAGATTATCACGCGAATTAGCCAGCGTGGCAGGCGGTATTTCTACAGGCAACGAAAATTAGGGAGTCAAAAGAAATACCGTCTGCCGCAAAACTAGGGGTTTTTGAATTACCCGTCCGCTGGTGAACGGAAAAAACGGATTGGTTAGTATTTTTATGTAGTTGTCAATCAACGGCTAAATTCGGTTAAATGTTAATCATTAACCAAATGTTTTGACGTTTTGAAACTCTGCGTTTTGAAATTAGTTCACGTCAAGTCAGACCAGAAATGGAATACCATAATAAAAGAAGCAAATTTAAAGATACAAGCTGAAAAATAACACTCTAAGTAGTGTTTTTGATAGAGATTCGAACAAGAATATTTAACAAAGAAGATACGTCCGAAGGGGCCGAAGTTATGATCGGCGAAAAGTATGGGCTAGTCTATATTTTCGTTCAGACTATTACATGCGCATTAATTTGATAATATACGATCTCGCTTGACTTTCAAAGGCCATAAATGGCAATAATGTTGACATTTTACTAAAACTATCGATAGAAATTAGGAGATATTTCTTCACTGAATCGAACGGTGGGATTTGCATATAGGCCTATTATGTTCTGAACCAAAGATACGTGCATGATAGATGTACGAACCTCCAAAGTATAAACTAGGGGCCGGTTGATGCAGTAATTATCAAATAACATAGTTAAACCCTTATATACCCGTTGAATATGTATAGTTGTAAACAAATAAAAACTATCGTTCTATAAGGTTCAAAACTTTCAGTTTGGTTGTTGACTGATGATGAATCTATAGTATAGACTTGCATGCTTTGTATTTTGAGCTTATTAAACCACCGTTTTAAGGCAGCTAAACGGCTAAACGGGCTTGGTTTATATTAACCCATAAAATAAATTCCTTGATTCTCATCACTAGACACAGTCTACACTTTGAAATGTCGAAGACAGTGGGAGATTTATTTTTTATATTTTATATTTATATAATTTATATATCAATAGTTCGTATCTCCACGAACAATGACAGAATGACTGAGTTTCTTTAAAATACAATGAAATTTCATCCAAAATTCTGTTTGTTTCAAATTGGAAGTTTAAAATGGCAATAAAAATCCTATATTAAAAATATAAAAAAATTAACTGTCTTGAATTATTTTGTCGGGCGGTACATTTATATTGTATAACGAAATATAAAACATTTTCACGAGGATTTTAAAATTCAGTCGGGCGGTGATGAGATCAAAGAATTTATTTTATGTTGGGCAGTTGGGACTTGGGAGCAACTTGGGAGTGGCTAATTTTGAATATTTACTTAATTAATGCATCTATAAATAGCTTTGATGCTTCAGAGGCGGTAGTTCATTTACACCTAACCTGATAACAGACCTACGTTTCGCCCGCCCCACAATTCGCGGGTCGACGAAGGGCGAAACGTAGGTCTGATGAAAATGTTGTCACAAGTGCATGTAAGTCGACCGCCAGGCGGTCGACAAAGCTGAGTGGCTAATTCACAGGGAAATGGGTTGTGATTGGTTGGTCGCTAACATGAAAAGATTTGAAAAGATCAGAATATTTTCAACGGTGAATCAACGCATATAAACATGCATACAGTGTAATATTATAAATGTTTTGTGATGCCGAACGACAACTAGGCTTTGATCAGTATCTACCGTCTACAAATAAAACTAGAGGGGAGTAGAGCAGTACGTGTCAAATTCTTCAGCGTTGTATCTTTCCGTTGTAATAAACAATACAATATGGGCTAGTATCCAAAGGTCGTAGGTTCGAATCCCACCGTGGCCGGGCATATTTTTCAAGCTCGCCCGGTGTGGATATACACTCAGAGTAACACCACCAATATAATACAATATATAATTTTTTATACACGGTCTAAGTTTTGTGATTAATTAATCATATAAATAAAACTCGGATACAAATATGTGCGCATTCATGATTTACATTTTGATAACATAGCACGTACAAAATATTTTATTTAGATTTTACCATTGTATGGCGATTTCAAATGTATAAATTGTAAGAGTTTGGATGCAATTCAACAACAATGGCACATTGGCATTGCCAAATTTGCGTAGGCAGATTTTATCGTATTTATAGAATGTGTTGAAAGTATTATTACTAGCTGTAAAGGTTTAAGTTTATAAAAGCAACGGGCTCCATGGGGTTACCAATATTTTAAATATTTATTCGAATATATGTACTTATCGACTCTTACTAGTTTACAAACTTGCAATAAAGTGAAATCGACAACTTTCATTGTATTTTTAGGTATTACATGTATGTGTCAATCATCATCGTTAATTATTGCAAAATGCAAAGTGGGCGGAAGGCGCTTTTGACAACATTTTCATCAGACCTACGTTTCGCCCAACCTCGTACCCAGGGCCTTTGCGCGATTCAGAGGCTCTGGTACGGGAAGCAAAGGCCCTGGTAAACACTGGTCACGTGTGTCCAAAAATATTGGACATTTCGTAATAATTTAGTTTTCAATCCGGGGGAAGCGGAGCCGATTGATTTTGTCAATAAAATTTACGATAAAACTTTCCTAGTGAGATCTAAAGTGGGTATACAGGGTGTATCAAAAAAAGCGCAATCCTCGACTGAAATGTAAATTGCTAAACAAATAATAGACGAAAACGTTAAAGTTTACATTCATTTTAAAGTAGCCATTCAGCTTTCTAACAGTGGGTTGTTTCTTAAATTTGACTCATTGGTTCGCGGGTAATAATACTTTACGTTATTGCGATTGGAGATTAAAAAAATTGAGATGGAATAACAAATCGTTCTCATGAAAATAACTGATTTTTTCATTAAAACAAAAAAATGTTACATTTTATTAAATGGATTGTAACAATAAGTATAATTACGGCTTTTCTTCCACTATTTTAACTCAGTTTGAAACTTCAAATGCGATATAATTTTGGCTTGGACCATCTAAGCTGACTGACATCAACTTGCTATAATTTCTGTTTACATTACATTACATTACATCGCAATTCGATGACACTCTGGCTCAGACACCAGAATGTTTTGACGATTTTTAGCATTCGTTTAGGATTTTCAAACAACCTGGTCTCTTTTAAAATACTTTTAATTTGTTCTTACGTGGTTTTCCAGATGTATTGACGACAACATTAAAGTTTAAAGAAGAAAATTCTAACATTTAAACCGACTAAACAATAACATAGTAAACTTGCATAATTAAGCAGCAACTAAAAATGATAGGTTTTACTAAATCTTTTCCTGTGCAATTATTACTAGCATTGGAAACAAGGATAATAGTTTGTTTGAAAGAGAAAAGAACAGGCTTTGAAGTAAGCCTAAAAGCGTTTAACTAGAAATAGTATTTCGAAAGTTATAAAGCACAAAATATGAATTGCGTTTATTTTGATACACCCTGTATATTAAAACTATGCATTCTACGAGCTTTCTTTCAACAGATGGTGGAATAGCGAACGGTAATACTTATCAAAGATCAAGGATCAAACTGAGAGAAAACTGGTCGAGTGATCTGTCTTTTATTATAAAATAAACTGTCTATTTTGTATCCATGTAGCTGCTCGTGTGCGACGTTTTATAAAGAATTAAATAAACATTGTTGATTAATAATGATTATAAGTAATTTTTACGTATTGACCAAAGAATATCACTTGGGATTTTATTGTACTTTCATGGAAGGATACATACTCAGTATTGTGCCTGTTTTGTGGAAGGGACATCTGTGGAAACGAAATTCTTCATGTGTAAACATGTAGTTGTCAAAGCAGAATATTTTAACAGTGACAGGTTGGTTTCCGCATGTATGTAATTTAAAATACAGTTGTGAATGAAATTATACACAGTATCTTGAAACCTTTGTGTGTGAGTTAATTTCATATTTAAATTTGGGATGTTTATTTCTCATTGTCTGGAAGAAGGGGGTAAAGGCGGGGGTACCAATCATGAGAAATAATATCCAATGACCTTGAA